GAATGGGTGTAGACTACCAGACTGTGGTCCGCGAGAAAAAGGTTACCGATGGTTAGAGACTTTGGATGAAATGGCTGAGAATCGTTTCGAATGACGCAGATTCATTCATTCTTTGTGTTCTCTCAAGATCCTAATATTCTGAATTCCTCTTCACATCTATCTTTCTCTTTCTAAATCTATTTCATCGAATCACACATCTTGAATAATATCTTCGAACCATAATCTTCTCCATTACTGCTAATGAAACTACTACCTCTACTACTATGGGATTCACATTGACAGTTGCATATGTCTGTGCTAATGTGGAATTGGAACTTGAACTTATGTACGTATATACGAATGTCTAAATTGTAATTGAATTACGGACTGACTGAGATCGTGAAAAGTTCGGAACATATTTCTGCGGGCTAATCTGAATTCGTATAGTTTGCCGGTATCACGATGAAACACTCTATTAAACTACTGTGACGATATTTGCCTCGTTTTCCAGCGCTTCTTGAGTTCCTGTATCATCTTTGCGACCAGCAAGTGATAACCTGTTGCTATATCAACTCGTTTCTTGGTTCTCACGTACTTCGTCATCCATCTAAACTTTTGGTTGATGCAGATATGATCGATTTATTGCTGTGTTGTGTGATCCAGTGGAAGCCATATGGCTTCGTGTATGCGTTTATGTGAGAATATGGTGCCACCAATGATCAGTTTGTTGCTTATGTAGAGCATCATTTTAATCACGGCTCGAGTATAACAGCAGCACTACTGGAGCTAATCATTGCTGTCCAACATGCGTCCAATGCGTTTCACTGATCCCAAGCACCTCCATGTCGTATTTATTTATTTCTGCAGCAACTTGGACAACGCTACCGGTTTTCCACATTGTTCGAACATTCCATGTACCTAAAGAATGGTTGCTCTGGTTGAGAGAAGGGGCATCAGCCTCGTCACCTCCGAAGGAACTCTGCATTCATCAAGAGATTTGATTACTCCTATGACTGAAGACCTTCTAACTCCCAAAGCAAAGTTAGATGGTTTGAATTTTTTTCTGGTTAGCATTTTTCCAGCGAGTTATTTTTCTTAGGGATGGGTTCGGTTAATCCATGCTTAACCCTCCTCCCTTATCTGAAGTTTTTATAAAACTGTCAAAGTATCAATAGGAAATTTTTTGAAGTATAGAATGCAAAGAAAACGTCTTGTAAAAGAAATAAGAAAATTTTTTAGTAGCATGAAATATCTGAATAATTTAGAACAATAATAAACAATATGTATCAATAAGAAATTCAAGAGAGTGAAAATCATCATTGTGATCAAATTCTTCACACTGAAATAGTCTTGTTGTGTTGAAGTGTTAAGGACGCTAGAAAAGGTCCTAATCTTGTAATCTATTTCCAAAATTTCGAATTTTTATGTTTTCGAGCCAAAGACGCTTAGTTGTCCTTCGGCTTACATGTTCCACTCAGAACATCCCTGACTGTCATTGGTTGATGGATTATTTTATTATGCTGTTTTGTGGCGATTTTATCACTTCAATTGATTGCTAAAGTAATCAACCCTTTCTGGGTGCCTGTAGAGTACCTTCTCTATGCCTTATCAAAACTTCTTACTCTAGTTAGCAGGGCCTGGGACAAAGGGATTAGAATAGCCTATCGTGTCAGTGCATCGTTGATCTTAGTTCCGTTTACCAATTAGGGTAAGCTCGTAATAGCATATCATGAAGTTACATTTTTGTCCTGTTCAATATGCAAATTTCCTCTAAATAAATTGTTGATACATTCACCCACATAATTGATGCTTATGTTTTCGTACATTTTTTTTCCTTCTATAGCCTACACAGGATAACTGTTTGACAACCAACATATTGACAGCTTCTCACTAGAACTCCTAGAATTGCTCCACAATGCGAGTCAGTAGTGGGCCTGTGATTATCATTCATGCAGAGATATTATGTAGAGTTTTGGGTTTTCATTGACTACTTCAATAAGTAAATTGATGGAAGTTAAATATGTACATCTTTGGATGTCAGTACATAGGTGCTAAACACTTATTGCGAGGCCGAAAGTCGAGTATTAGATCACTGATGCACCCTGCTGAACAGTTCCACACTAGGGATAAACACCCATAAAATGCCTCATAGTCGTTTAAGATCAATCCGCGATGAGCCCATGAACATTTAATAATTTTCACAAACCGTCTATACTAATAATAGACATATGTTCGAATTCTATAACCTTTTACTAAATTAGATAAAAAAAACTTTTAATAGTAATTGTAGTTAATAGTTCATTTCTACTAAATATCAAAATAGTTGGATTTATTCCAATTGTTAAACGTAACACACCTAAATATCTGCATTGTATGTATCTTATTTAGATTTAGGATATGTGTACATTAACTTAAATTCAGAATTCATTATTTATACCAATTTATATTGTTTACCATTGAAAATGAATTCATCTATTTTTTTATCTTAGTTTAAAATCAATACGTTTCTTTGTATCATTTTGTACAATAAAATCCTCTTATTAGGTATGAAGTTATGCAAAACCACAAGGTTAATCATTACTGATGCTATTTCAAACTGACTGAAACTCTTGAAAATAACCTACCATTTGAGATCTAAGATACTAATCAAGTTATTGTTAATTATACTTATATACATCAAGCGTTGTTGAACAAAAATAATAAAAGTTTCTATAAAACACTGGTATGGTGGTTATTATTATACAGCCTTGATCGAAGCAGTTAGGATGCTTCATGGTGAACGCTGAGATTTTTCGGTAGTCAAGAGATTACTGTCTCTTTTGAAGACCAGAGTAGCAGTTAATATATGTATCTTAAATGTCTGGACAATGTAGAAGACAGTGAGGAACATTTCAGTACAAAGTGATATCATCTAAATAATTAGTGAAAACCACGAAGTATTGGACAATATTTACACAGGAATGGATGCTTATGAGCCTGTGAGATATTAAATGCAGAACCCTAAATTACTGTTAGTTCACTGAATTCGAACCCTGTTTCGCACACTTCTGTCTATAAGATGAATGTTTGCGATGGAAAAATGCTTATTCATTCGAAAGCATTGATTTTAATACTTAGTTATATGAAAGTTTCTTAATCTTGGTAAACCATATGTAATAGTTGAAAATAAGTCTAAAATTCTCAGTAAAAAGAATATCAGGAGTGAAGTTAGCAGTAAATTGGGTACTCCGTTAAATTGTGATTTACGAAATGAAAACTGGGAATTTTTCCTGACGTCCCACTACTTCCCGTCAAGTTAACTTTTGTTTTATTATAAAAATGTTCACATAATTTTTATATTCGTGGTTGTGATATATGATTTTCTAACACACTAATGAATAACACTTAGAACTATTATTTACAAAGATACAGTCTTAAGAGACAGATTATTGTTAATTTAGTCATTTTATTTTCTAAATACATGCATCTATAGAAAGTATCATCAATGTTTTATGTAAGGTTGTCTGATTTGTGTTACAGAACTGTAATTTCAAAGTTATTAAACTTTATAAGGTATACCTGACTTGGATGAATTTATTTGGAAAAGACAGTGGTGATTAACACTTATGTCAATTCCTCGTGATGTACCGGTCATATTATTGCAAGCTAAATATTTTTAGCCAGGAAACATTTCAAATCATTAGCTCGAAAATGTAGGATTCATTCGAACATAAAATTTGCGCAGACGGACAGATACAACTCAGAACTTCGTGCGTAAGTACTTCAGTCCAGGTTGCCATGCCCCATCGGCACAGAGACGCAACTGTCAGTTCAAATCCAAGAGTGATAGCAATAATAGAAGTATTAGCAGTAATGGAGAAGATTAGGGAGCGAAGATATGATTCGAGAAGTATGATTCAGTGAGATAAATTTAGAAGGAGAAAGGTAGAGATTATGAGGAATGCAGGTTAGAATTTGAGAGAACACAAAGAGTGGATGCACCTGCACCACTGCAAACGATTTTGAGCCATGTCATTCAAGGTCTCTAACCACCGCCCCTAGCTTTCTTCCAATCTACTCCTACACTGCAAAACATAGCTCGTCGCGGCAGTTGGTGGTTAGCCATACGTAACACATGTCCCAACCATCTCAACTGATAAAGTTTCACTACTTCATCTACTGATTCGCCATCCCTACCTAGAACTCATTTCCTAACGACAGCATTGCTTATACGGTTGTCCCATGATACACGAGCAATGCTTCGGAGACACCGATGACCGAATGCTTGTAACCTACAAACATCTACTCTTAACGGCCAAGTCTCGCATCCTTACAGTAGGACGGAGCGAACTGCTGCACAGTACACTCGTCCTTAAAATTTGCGCAACAAATAGATCAATGATGATTGTGGTAAACGTTGTATACTTAGTAAAGAAACGTCCGAATAACTGATCAGTGATATTGTAACCAATGTGAATTGACTGATCCATAAATACTTGTATATACTTTTACATTTCATACTTCGACATATTAATGAAGATCAAGATGGTAATAGGATCTACAATTTATTTTAACCCTTAACTGGCCAAGTGAGTGTGACTTCATTTGAATGTAACAGTTACTGCTGTGATTTGAAACGCCGTGTTTAAAACTTCGAGTCTCTATTAAGTAGACTGATGAGTCACAGTATCCATTTATTCAACAGGGCTTTGGGTTTTCTTATAAGAGTATTCGGATCTCAAGAGATCAAACTGTGCTTTCATTTGAATACTTTAGACCAATCTGTTATCAGAAATCAATGACTACTTTAATCAATACCAAGAAAAATACATAACAAAAAATCGACTTTGTAGTACGGTGAATTTTCGCTGCTCTGTACATGCATATGGTTAGTCTGATGACATTAAATTTTAATCAATCCATTTAAATCAATGTAAGGTTTCGAGTTAGGGTACATCCTGTAAGGTTAAATAAGAAATGGAACTCTTCAGCTGAATTTATTAACTGATTTTTATTTTGTGATAAATTCAGAACAAGTCATTTCATGGTCCACGATATCCTATTGTAGCGCAAGCTAATCTTGGACCAGAATTACCAGTTGTTCTACTACCCTCGTCTGGATTTCTTCCAAGATCGTCTGCGTAAGCGTGTATCACAAGAGATCGACCAACAAATCCATTATATTTTGCCAGTCCATATGAAGTAACAAAGATGTCAAATTTCATTACACCATCTAGTCCAATTCTAAGGTTGCCTAAATCTCCAGCATGTCTAGGAAATCCATGACGTGGTCCATGACGTCTAAAATCAAAATAAAGCAAAAACGTAACTTTAAAAGTATATACATATCATTTAATTGGTGTTTTTTTGTAGATATTTTTTAAGAAGACTGTAATTACAGCAAAATATTTATTATTACTTATTCAATTTCAAATGAACAGTTTCCCAGCCACAAACTATACATAGTTTTCAATTTCCAAAATATCCAAAGAATCACTTGAGGAATAAGTAAACTTTTTCCTTCTTAAGTCTCTTATAATTAATTGTTTATTTATTGTGACAGGAATAGTTTTTTACTTTTCAGGTTGTAAGATTTATCCAACAATTTCTTCATTAGTGTTGATTAAACTCAATAACCAACTTCTGAAGACAATAATACATAGTAAGTATTATGTTATAAGTGTGAAGATTAATTCACTAGTAGTTACTAACTATTTGGTATTGAAAGATTCTAGGAGGAAATGATAAATGCACTTTGTGCTTAAAACTCCTTATTAAAAAGATACATTTTAACATTAGTCTACATCACTACTTCTCAAACACATGAATTCCGCGTGATAAAAGGATGTTTCACGTTAAAAGTTTCTTGGCTGGCAGTTGATGTGTTCTCAGGAGAGGTTTTTTATTTGTTATTTTTATACAGACAGAGAAGTCAGTAAATGACAAGTCTAGATATCTAGAAAGTCTAGGTATTTCTACAAATAAGAAATTCACATCATGTAACGAAAAAAGATTTAAGTCGATAGGAATAATTTGAAATGGTCTCAGGTAATGACAGTGACGAAGACCGTTTATTCAAATTCACATGGTAATAAATTAAATTACTGATATTCCCATGTTCTTAAGACCAATTAAAAGTTATTTTTCCAATTTAAAACATGAGCAAGCATAGCTTCAATCTTATAATAAGAGTTCTATTTGTATTGAATTCTTCACAAAAAAGCATACCAACAGTATTCTGATACATGTACGAAATACTCGGTATGAAGTATTCATAGTGAAATCTGAAAGCTTAGTAAGTATGAATAAGAGTAAAACTATTATGATTCTCATATATGTAAAGTAAATTTTATGTACCTAACATATGTTTTAGCATAATTAAAATGACAGCCAATTATAAGCAGATTGTAAACTTACTGGTTGAATGGATTAAAATGGGGACCAGCTTCAAGACACATGTTTCCAAGTCCTCCATATCTATGAATATGAACACCTACTGTTCCTCCAGGTGGAAGTCCTGACACGGATCCATTAATGTATATGTATCTTCCACGCTGTGTAAACCACACCGAACCTAAATGCGGTGCTTTTACAAATGAAGCAATAGCTGGATCAATATATTTACGTCGATGACCTAAGGAACATAATAATAATGCAAATAAAATAATTTAATAAACCTTTATTTGATGATTAGTTATTATATGAGTATTAGATAAATATCAGATATCATAGTGTAACTTATAAAATCATTTTATTTGGTTTTAACGTAGGAAATTACGTTTATTTTAATGACAAGTTTGTAATTTATTTATTGTTCTGCATGTGTTTACTGCTATAGAATTTTTTGTCTTGATAATTTCTGAACATTAGAACAAGCAGGTAAATGACCAATATTCAGGGTTCTTATTGACTTAGATATACTTAGGGTATCAAATGATTTTTCCTTTTCTGAAATGTACAATGCTATATAATTCAAATTTATACATACTTTTAATCAAATGTTCCTGTGTGTATTATATTCTCTTGAAATAATAAAACAAATTTTGCTGTATTTATACGATCAGTTGTTGAAATTTATCATCGTAATTCCTTTGGAGGCTATCAGTAATTGTTGGTAGATTCATTACTAAAATCATTTGTTCGTTATAATTGCAGTTGATTATATTTATCAACCAATGTAATGATAGTCGTTTTAATAGTTAAATCATAATCATAGAAACTCAGAATTATGATTCATAACAGTGAGTATTTATTGTTTTAACCGTCAAGTTATTCTTTATTCAGCTTACATTTGTAATGGAGTCTGCCTAATGAACTTGCTCAAATTTCCAACTAAAAAACAAACATCTAACGAATTCAAATAAGTAACATATTGTAAGCGATAATACTTAGATATTTTTCTGTCTATTAAGATATATATATATATATATATATCTACATATACATATTAAAAACCTATACCTTTTTCATAGAATGACTGTTAAAAGTAGCAAGCGAAATATATTTGGCATCAAACACTGACTGAGTTATTCATCTCTCCACAATACTTGGTCACATAGTTGACTCATGCAAGACATCGGTTACATATCCATGCGTCCCAAGTTCCTAACACTATTAAACCAGTGAGTTAGGTCAATTAACAAATATTCGCTAACAATTAGAGATTAGGATATACAGCTTTTCTAGTTTTAAACATATTACGTGTTTAATGTATTCCTTACGAAAGACTAAATCATTTACCATTCACAGAGTTTTATATCAGACAATAATGAAGAAAATTTATCATTTTAAAATATCATTTTATCATTTTTAAATAGAAACTATAAAACCGAATATATGTAACATTTTCTAGATTAGATGGATTTCCAAACTGAAAACTACAGTGTACGTAATGAACATTTGCTTATAAAACAGATTACAATACCTTAGTTACAACTGAGCGGTTAGTTGGCATAGTTCTGTGGATTATACTAAAAATCAAAAGAAATATGATTATCGCTCCAAATATATAGCATTTTTAAGTTTATAAGCTATACTTCTGAAGAGATGAGAGTATAGACTTTGTATTTAACCGATTTCGTACACGGAGAACCTGAAAATCATAAGAAACTAGTAAATTTGTTGACTTTTGTTAGCTCCAGATTATTTGGTTAACATAACACTTTTTATCATCATAATCCTACTTCAGTTACTTATTTCGAAAAATATAAAGTATAATTCAGTATTATCCTCATTCCAAATGAATAGCTAGTGATGGATAGTTGAGCTTAAGGAACTAGTGGCAGTGATTGATACTTTTTAAATTCAGGAAGTTATTATGAGAGTATTGTAATCACAAAATCAGGTTTTAAAAATACATATATGCGGTGAATGTTTATATTTATTTAACTTACGTGAGTAGTAACCATATCCGTAAGCAGAACAATAGTTATCAAGAAGAATAAATAATATAATTAAATAAGAATATGTTGTCATCTTATTTAGTTTCTAAAATACTTTATTCATGCTACATTTATGTATTTATTTTACTATGAAATTATTCGTTGCACCTTCGATTTTTTATTTATTTATCGAATTACTCTGTTCACTTATCAATTATATAATAATTGTACGACGTAGTTACTTTGTTTGCACTTTCAATACTCGATTTAATTGATAAATGCAATTCAGAAAGAAACAATCACGATAAATCTTTCTGTGACATTATATCGTTTAATGCAAAAATAAGTTCATTCATAAAATATGTATTTGTGCAATACACTTATTGAATGATATGATAATACACTTAACTCTTATAAGATATTAGAAAAAAAATACAGAAATGCTGAATAAAACTTGAGAAAAAATCATCTACTGTTTGTTGAGGTCATACCATATAGCGATTATATACCCCATTCTACTCTGATTTGTTAACCAGTACTCACAGTGAACAAATGAATGCTTGTTTCAGTTTCATAGAATACATTAATCAACTAGTCTTCTAATGAATATGCTAATATTGACTCATCATTTGGGTTGCATTCAGTTATGTTGCCCTAAATCCACAAACTGTCAGATTACATTTTTGCATTGGGTATATCTGATAAAGTATTGTTGTTTTACTGCCATCTTTTGGTTGGCAGCAGTCTTACTATTTATGAACTTGAAGATTTAGATTAACTTATAAAAAATGTACACTTATTTGTTAGTCTAAGAATCAAATGTGGTTTACATCCTCCCATGCGGTTACTTCTGTCTAATTTACTTAGTATTCCAATTCTTGTTAACCATAAGTGAACCAGTAGTTTTTGTTTGATAAATCTGTACAAAACAACTCGAGATGACTTACCTGTGTAGTCAGATCTAACTGGAAGTTATCTGTGGTGTTTGAATGAACTAGTAACTTCTTGTTGTTGTGGAATGCTTGATTTCGAATTCTAAATACAATACATTCGTTTGTGCATATCTTTAATTCTTGATACATATACTTCTAAATACTACACTGGCGTCGCGATGGAACTTGTAATGGAACAGCTAGATATTCATTCTACTTCTGAAGCTTTTGAAGATTATTTGGAAAGGTTTGAAATCTGGAGTATGACCAGGAAAGATGTCAAAGATGATAAAATTGTGGCTCATTTCCTAACATTCATCGGAAAGAAGCGTACAGCTTATTGAAAACCTTGGCATATCCAGAAAAACCTATTTCACTTCCCTATGCAATGCTTAAGGAGTTATTATTGAATCATGTAAAGTGCCCTGGTTTTGAATGCCGTGAAAGGGCGAAATTTCATAAGATGACTCGTCGAAATGACCAAAATGTTAAGGAATTCATTCTTGAATTGCAGAAACAAGCTGTCAAATGTAATTTCAGTGATAAACTTCATGTGCAACTGAGAGACCGATTAATCGCAGGAATTAACATACCTAGTTTGGAAAGAGAGCTGTTAAGAATGTCAAACTGTTCCTTTCAAGATGTTAGAACTGCGTGCATTAACTACGAGGCGTTGAATGAACTTGATACTCAGTCGATGAAGATTTCCAATACTTTGATTAGTTGTCATGATGAAATACAATCTCAGGGTTAATCAAAATTGTGTTCGTTTAACAGAGGTTCCTATTCTCGTGTAAATGTGAACGGTGTCTCAATAAAGAATTACAAAGGAAATCACAAAGGTGAGACCAAGTTTGGCAAATGTTTATCATGTGGAAAACTTCATTCTCGTAATTCATGTGCATTTCGTAATGCTAAATGTTTTAGATGTGGTAAGATAGGACACATTCAAGCAGTACGCAAAGCTACCATTCATTTTGCCTCAAGTACTACTAAATCTTGTAATTTCGATCCCAATAACTCAGCTGATCCTAATGATCATTTATCTTTGTCTACCATTTCGAAAGGTAATGCTCATATTCAAAAGCGATTATATACATCGCTTGGTTCATGTCATGACTTTATTGTGGACACAGGCAGTATAGAGTCCATTATTTCATTTAAGAACTTGAAATCTTTAGATTCTAACGTTGTGGTACGACCCACTGAAGTATTAATATTGGGGTTCCAATGGTGTTAGTGACTCATAACGGCTCTCATTTTGCTACAGATGTAGTCACTACCTGGTTAAATGTTATAGGGTGCAAACATCTATTTACTGCTCCCAGACATCCTTGTTCTAATGGTCAGGCGGAAAATTTCGTCAGGACATTGAAAACTGCTGTTGATTCTATTGCCGCCTCAACATTTAATGAGCTGGAGAGGGGAGTAGATACCTTTCTATTGCAATATAGAAATGCCAGACATTCGGTGACGAAAGAGACTCCATCAAAACTATTAAAAGGAAGAATTCTTCGGTCGAATATGAGATGTTTGGAGTCTGCAGAAGTTACATATTATCGTGGCAATGATCTTCGACCATCCACGGAGATTGTTCTGAAGAATGTCGGGAAATCTATGGTGCGACTTCTAGATATCAATGACTTAAGTACACACAATCGACATGTTGATCAAATACAATTCCAAGAACCAGGTGAGTCTGTTCCAATTTCGGTTGTTAATTCTAATACTAATGAGAGTATTCTAGATAATACAGAGCCTTTATCCAATACACTGTCGGACAGACACAGGTTGAATTTGAGAAGAAGACGTACAATTGATTACAGACACTTGGATTCCAATTTAAGCTGTGGCGGATGTGGTGTTTGAATGAACTAGTGACTTGTTGTTGTTGTTGAATGCTTGATTTCGCATTATAAATACAATACATTCGTTCGTGCTCACCTAGTAGTTCTTGATCCACTTACGTTGTTTCTTGGATTATTAGTTCATCCAATAATTCAAATACATCTAATTATTATATTTTTCCTCCATTAAACTTGAGTTACACGTCTCAGGTTCACTTATTTAGAAATAAATTAAGCCTATCGTTACCAGGTATTTTGGAAGTAAAGATATCCTTCCTTTACAACTGCTAGTCTTCTCAATGTATCTGTACCACTCAACAAAGAGTATGTATTATTTCAAGTGCGTTATATTCAATAAAAAGAACTTTAAGTTCCATAGTAGAATCTTAATGAGTTTTATTGACATCCCTCAAACGTATTCTGCTACTAGCCTCTGATATAATAAAAGTTTTAAGATAGCAACTTTGTTATAAGTTCACTTGGAAGTATAGCCTATGTGAAGCTTGTTTAGATTGCATCTTCTGTTTCACTTCTGTAATAACGCTTCTGATTACGCTAATAAGATTTTCTGAGTTGTCCATAGATGCAATTCAGTGTGAAAAATATTGAGCGATACAGGATTTTAGAAGATATTGATGAAATCAAGTGGAAACTGTCAGAAAGTCGTCAAGAAATATCACATCGTTTTTGGAACTAGAGCGTGATGAATGATGTTCATTGAGTCAATGCTCGCAAAACGTGAAGTTTCTGAACGTAGTAAACACAGCCAAGAAGTTAAAACCAGTTTGCAGTATTTTTTAAGAATTAGTGATTTCCCTCAATGTTATTTGCGCATGATACGAATTTGAAATACACTACTCTTGATTGTGCTGATGGAGATTCTTTTGACTTCGAAACTGGTTTATACCTGAAAGTTTGTGCGTACAGAGTGCTGTAGACGAAAAGTAAAGTTAAACAATCACTGGTACATATGGTTAGAATTATGGATGTTTCTGTTGAACCAATCTCTTCAAAAAAGGGATTTACTGCAGCAGACGACTGCTAGAAAGGTCTTACACTTTCGACACGTAGTGATCCCATGAGCCTGCAATCTCATCCGGAGTCAAGGGAGGCGTGGTCTGCTGATCCGGAAGTGAGAACGGAGTCTTATCTGTGGATGGTGCAGATGACGCGAGATGTTGACTGGGACGTGAGAATGAGGTATCCGAGTTATCTAGCATGGGATCCAAAGGGGAAATATGGATCCCGTTAGTGAGTTGAACGAGTCCAACACTGAATCTCGGTTTATCGGGTAGGGCACTCTCACTGACGTGTGCTGGTTAGAGGCGATCAAGACTGACTAAATCCATCGACCTTGAAGGTCTTTTCGTGACGAGAGGTCACGTGAAAAGATCATACATAAGGCTGTTGCACAGGTTTGTGTACCGAGTCCACTCTAATGAAAACATATGGACATGTGAATAACTCTTGAGGGAGAGTGGCCTGTTGATGTTATATTGGAGTTCACACCGGAGGCACTGTTCGCAAGTACGCAGATAGTCAATGTTAAAGTTATTACTGTTCCGTGGTGTGACAAATTCCTCGGGCAGATGAAATTCCACACACAAGTTTAGAGGCGGAACATTGGATATCTGCCGTTGCTGCTCTGCAATCTTTGCATGGTCTCCAACTAATGCAATCTTTTTTTGCAAAGTGAATGCAGAGGGGAGGCTTAAGGACTGTGAGGAAGACGAAGTAATACGTACAACAAATAAACTGTCAAACTCGCGCTTAGCGGGAATTAACTTGTCCAGTGACATTCGGCGATGTTCCGAGAATCTGTAGGCAAAGATGTGGCTTACTATATAATTAATGACTGATTGGATTTCCTTGGTTTAATTACTTTAGGTAATTTATCAGATATAACATAAAATAAATAATCATGAAAAATAGTACACCAGTGATTCGGTACACATCTGTGGATTGTTAAAACCCTTGGATTTCATACTCAACGAAGCATCGTATAACTGCAGCCTACATGAATCGGATAACAGTTCATAGAGCTGTAGGGAGTGCGGCTATGGGAACGTCAGCACGGATGGACGTCCATAGATACTGTCGTCGATTATTTAGGTTGGTCGGTAGCTGTCGTACACCGTAGGTAGGAATGACTTAGGCCATTTGCGGAGCATGGTAGAAGCATCGTTGCCTGGAACTTGCTGCTACCAGGTGATACGACAGAAACTTGGACACCTTTGGTCACGAGGTACCTGGCGTAAGTGCGAAAATCGTGCACGTAAAATAAACGAGCAACCTGAAGTGACGTGAAGGAGACA